ATGTACATCAATCAATAGAGTAAATGTCCGAGTTTGTCTACCATTTGCATATAAATGTCTTTTTATTTGCTGCCTCCAAGAAGTACTGTAAACAAAAATGGTGACTCTGTAACAGAGAAAGCATTTTGTGTTCTGCAGTTCACAAAGTTGGAATCGGTCGATGTAGCGACGACTGTCGTCGTGCAACGTGAGTGTCACAGATAATTTCGGTGATCCACCATATAATGCAAATATTTGCATTGCTTGATAATGATTGATTTCAAGTCTGTCGACAGTAGAACACAAAATGTATTCTCAGTTGTGGAGGCACCATTTTTTACGGCAATTCCTAGAGGCAGCAGACAAAAAGATGTTTGTATGCAGATGGTAAATGAAACTTAGGCATTTACTCTATCGACTGATGTACATCTCACACTTTTCAGGTATAATTAATATAATTACAGTAATTTAAAATGGTAGCATTATTTTTAGAAGACCTTGTATTTATCTACCAAAATTATCTGTCACATCCGATATCAAAAGACATACCAATTTTACAATCCATTACTTTGTCATTTCTATAGACAAATTAATCTGCTCATGTTGAAGCACATATTTCTTAGTTTCATTATTTTTAAACTTAAGCATAGCTTTGCAACTCAAAGTCTTTTACCTTTCAAGATAATTACGCATTTAAAAACTATAATTTTCTGACAGATTGCTTTTTAAATAACAAATAAATTTAATGTGCTAGCTTAAAATTTAAAACATGAATTATTCTTAATTCTATTGGTCGTTGAAGAAAGAATGCAAAGTAATAAATTCATTGAAATATTATATAAGTTTATATAATATATTTATAATTATTTGAGAATTTGGAACATTGCATAAAATCCTTTCTAATAGTGTAACAAATTTTTGAGTGTTAAATCTTTGAAGATGATTATAGTTAAAAAAATCTTAATTTCTTGGGTTACAGCTTATCTTCATGTTTTTTGTGTTTAACTATAAGATATTCCAACAAAAAGTCAGGATTTTAATGTTTAATACCTCCTGAACAACTCATTTTAAGCTTTGCACTTTGCACTTCTTTTTAAGTTGAAATACCATTTCTTTACTTTCATCATTTGCCTAGAAACAGTATTTGCATTCTTGACACTTATAAGAATTAGTACTGAACAATATATCTATATTCTTAAATAGTTTTATGAATATAAAAGCAAAAAAAAAATTGAGGAAGTGTGGTTCATGCAAGATGGGGTCTCATACCTCAAACATCAAACAACATTTTGCATTTTCTTAAGTCAGTATTTGAAGAGAGAATGATTTCTCATTGCTATCCAGAAAAATTTAATGTTGGTTACATTTGGCCACTCTCCAGACATTAATCCATGTGATTATTGAATTATTGGTCTCTTCAAGTCTTCAAGGCTTGCTATGTGGCATCTGAATACTTCAGTTTTTAAGAAGTCCCGCAATAAATAAAGTTTTGCAGACTAACATTTCAAACCATAACTTTCACGCTGACATCACCCTTTCCCACAATTTGTAAAGGTTCACTATGAACAAAGACTGGCAGTTAGAAACTGATCTTTGTCAAATGTGACATGATTTGTTGCCCCTGACTCTATGATCCATTTGTTCCAAGTTTTTGAATCTACCACAGAAACAGCAGACTGGTCGCAGCTATTTGAGTGACTTTTATCTATATTTGTCTATGGCATTCCTTTGTTTTATGTTCAATTTTGTGACATTTAAAACATTTTCCTTTAAATGAAATTTCATTATCAGGATATTTCTTGTCAAACTTACTAACTAATCATTTAGATTTTTCTAATTCAGGTGGTCATTCGTTTCTGTTTTATCTCTTCTTGAACTAATTTTTCAAACACAACAGCAGACAGGGGCTTATGGGAACTTTGGGTTAATGCTATTATTAAACTATTGAATTCCCTATGTACTTGAGAAAATAACAAACCTTGTCCTCACCTTGTCCATGCTGTTTAGTTTGTTGACTATATTTTGGAGTGTACAGATGTAGTGTTCCATGCCTTTACAGTTGCTATAATTAATAGAATAGAGCTGCCTCTGTAGTTGGATTTGATATAGTAGTCCATTGTCTTCAAAGGCAAGGCAAAGTGAACCCTGTGCTCCCTTAGCCATCTTTATATATGTATTCACACTCAGTGAATACATATAAAGATGCAGTGCAGTCATCACTAGAACTTACTGAACATTGATCTTTTTTGATGAATTGGCCTGGTTGATTTCCACTGGTTACTTCTCCTTCAGTCGAACTAATCATCACATGGTTATCTTCAATGGTGAACTGCAGATATTTTATTAGTTGCATCTTCATAGACTTAATATTTGTAAAATATTAAGTTATTTTTATTTACAGGATTGATTTCTTTTTATATATAGGCTAGCTTAGATTTCAGAGTTGTTTTTGCTTTTTACTAAAACACAAAATAATTTTACATCAATACAAATTTTGTTCTGTATGCATTATTATTTAATATTGTCAAATATCATTAATAAAAAAATTCATGTTATAATCTCCATTATTTGAAGTATCTATAGTGGTTCTCTAAACTAAATATAATAGCTTCCAACTTCCAAATAATGGAATTTATTCTAATAACTGATAATGTAACTGTTATAACATGAAATTTATTTTACTTGTATTTCTTTCTCTGTATGATATATTTCTCTTTCACAAAATAATAAATAGGTATTTAAAGTATTTTAAAAGGGAATTTAAGAACAAGAGCTCAATGGAAAGTATGAATTGCATGCACTTAAAGTTACTGGCAGAATAAGGATGTAGTTGATGTAGTTGTTAGGTTAAATTGATGATCAGGAACTACAATGGCTTCTAATAACAATTTGCAAAGTAAGAAACTTTTTCTGAAGCATATTCTATCATAACTTTATAGTGTATAAATCAAATCATTTATAGTTTCCAAGTATTACTAATATTTAAAACTTTAGATAATTTTAAATATACGAGTAGTTTATTTTTTATTAGTTCAATGTATAATACTTATTAATAGTTTTTACAGTTTTATTCATGAAATAGTTCCTTTACGATTTACTCTAGTAATCCCCAGATTCAGTAGGTTTTGCTTTAAGTAATCAAGGATTGATCTAAGAATTTATTAAATGGACAATATTCGTAACTGGCAAATAAAACCCCAGATAAATAAATGTAATGTTAGAAATGCATTTAATGATACAAATAAATATATTGGTCAGTCTGAATGTTTGTAAAATAATTTAAAACTAGAAAATGATAGAAATGAAAAAATAGATATTAAAAATATTTTTATTTTATGGGAAGTGATTAGAGTTCTACCAAATGAACTGAGTTGAGCTGAGCTACATCTCAGAATTTTGACAGTTAACTTAACTCTCAACTGGAGTCTAGAATGACAGACTGGCTCTCATCTCTGGTCTGCAATCACAGCTTTGCTCATAGCTCGCCTGTCAAGACCTCAGCTCAGCTCGTTATTTCCAAATAGCTAATCTGAGCTTTGCCAAACTCTACGAACTACTGTGATTGGTATATTTGATTCCAGTAAGCAAATATACCGATCACACTATACCTTACACACTGTTCCAGCATTAGTTTAATAAAAAAAAATGTTTTCAACCCCATTCAGAGGTCTACATTATGTTAAAAACATATTAAAATACAAATTAAAGAAAAGAACTGAGTTCTAATGGTAGAACTATAACTGCTATTTTTAAATTTACAAAAAGAACTCTGTTTTTTTTTTTAAATTTATATTTTAATATGTTTTTTAACCTGATGCAGACCTCTGAATGTGGTCAAAAACATCTGTTTTGATTAAACTAATGCTCAAGGGTAGTGTGATTGGTCTTCCATTATAAGTCTACATCATATATTCTATTAACAATCACACTTCTGATGATTTTTTGATTGTTAATTAAAGAATTAACAGAGTCATCAAATGTACAAACTTCATAATCTTGTTACTTTAAACTTATAACCTGAGGCATCATAAAAAATGAAATCAGATAAATGGATATCAATGAAATATAAAAAATTCAGTAAAATTAATTAGATTTAGACTTCAATAAAATATAAAAGCTTGCATTTTATTGAAATAAATTTAGTTTTTTTATATACTGATAATCATAAGTTAAATTACAACAACATGATTGTTTTTATAAATACTTTATTAATTACTCGGACACTCAAGAAACCTTCGTTGACAGCAAAAAACGATTTAATTACAAATTTTTTGGTTACAAAGATTTCCCGAGTGTCGGAATATCCAAAGTTGCAGTTTCTATTTCTTACTTTATTAATTACAAAAGAACTCTCAATTAACGGCGTAATAAATTTACAAATGGAAATTTAATAACTACATAAATACATATTAGATTAGATTTTAAAAATATTATCAATGATTGAAAGGCTCATACAGTGAGAGTTATTGAAGAGATAGAAGAAGAAATATTTCATAAAAATAACATTAAAAGTTGAATAGGAGTAGAAAGTTGTGCACAGTTGAAAATGACCGTTCTCGGTAGGATATTATTGATATTCTGTACTTTCAATTTCTGTAATAAGAACTTTGACATGATGATGAAAATATTGATATATAAATATGTCAAAATTACTTATAAATCATCATAGTGATGTACTTTTAAAATAGTTTGTGCCAGAAGGAATATCAATAAATTTGTGCTTTAATATTGTATTTCCTATCTTAGAATATTTATTCGCATTCAGATTTTTATATATATATAAAATTATAATGTTGTGCTTATTAGTATTAAATTTTTTGTTGTAAGTAATTTAAAGTTTTGCATATTAAATGTTAGAATTTACAGTTTAAGAATGAGTTTAAAGCTTTTAAATTTAATAAGTTAAAGTGTTTTTATTGTAAAGAATGTTTATTTATTAATAAGTACTACTAATAAAAAATGCTATTTAATAATAGAACTTATTTATGTATAATAATTTATTTATTTATTTATTTTTTCAGATGTTAAATTTGCCAACTTTCATTTTACCATTGAGCCTAGTGATAATGTCATAGTCAAAGATAGTTCGGCAATTTTAAAATGTTCGGCTGTAGGAAGTCCCGAACCAGTAATTCACTGGAAAAGAGAGGGTTCGGTTGTTCAATTTGACGACGACAACAGAAGGTAAGTAAATGCACTAGTGTTATGTAAAAAAAATCATAGGTTTAAATATTTTAAAGGTATTGAAGTTTACTTTTTCTTTAATTACAATTTTTTTTATATTAGTAAAAGCAGTATTAAATGATAAAGAAGAAAAATATATTTATTTTATAATTATTTTTTATTAATTTCGATGACAAATTTATACAATATTTTTATATAAAAATCATCACTTAAAATAATAACAATGTTAAAGGCTTGATGCATAAAAGATTCATTAAATAAATGCCTTTTTATCCTTGAATCATTTCGTTCAGACATTTTTTTTTTTTAGAAGGTAATGCTTTGCTATTTTATTTAATTATCTACAAAGCAGTGATACTAAACAATGCACAGAAGTTAATTTTTCATCCATCATTTTGGAACACAAAGAGGAAGTACTCCACTTAACAGTGATTTCTATTATGTAGTCTGTCAAATGCTTCTTGTCATTCATCTTGTCTATCATTAGCAGTTGCAACAATTTTAAATGATTTCTTTAGAATAGATGTATTTAAATATTTTTATTATATGGTTTATTATTAAATATACTAAATGAAAATTATTGTCTTAAAGACCGTTGGTTGTAGTTATTTACGTAAGACATTTTTCTGTAAAAGATTTTTATTGATTTTTTCCGAGAGTTTATCCATTTTAATAATAAATTTAGTTTTATTTTGGTATTGATGATTATTTTATTAGAGAAACGTTTTGAAATTATAATTGGATTAAGAAGGAATATTTTATTAATCAAGTTTTATACAGTATTAAAATGATATATTTTATGTAATATACATGTAGATAAATTTATCTGGTTTATAAATAAATTCATTTTATATTAATTTTAGTAAGAAATATGAAAATTTGTAATTCCAAAAATATATTAAATGGTTAAAGATATATCATCATTCTTTTGTTTTAGTGTTATGAGACATAAATATGCAAATGAGATCACCTATCAATGAAGGAAAATTCATGCAAGTTTGCATGACATCTGTTTTGAACAAATTCGGAACAGAGCAATGGCCTGTGAAATTCTCCATGTGCTTCATGATTAAAGATTGTGTACTTTGTCATATGCTAATTGGAGTATCATATAATGAAAAACTGTTAGAATAATTTAAGTATCGCGCATGACAAGTTTTAAATATAAAACTTTTTATACGTGTAGGCTACAAATTAAAATAAATTAGAACTATAGATTTTTGGTGAATAAATTTTATTTCATTAGATTTCTGTAAAAAAAAATATATATACACATAAAAGAAATTATTTTGTAATAAGACATTATAGTTTTTATTTGATGATTTGAATCAGTTTTTGTAGCTAGAAATAAATTTTTTTTTTTAAAAAGTAATAACTGTATTCAAAAATGGATTATTTAAAAAATTATTTGTTTTAATATATTTAATGGTTTTATTATTCTATTTGTTAATATAAAAAAAAGTTTTTATTCGAGCTTACAATTTCATTTTCGTTCTTAATTTTTTTTCAATTTATGAAAGAAAAACAATAATAATAAAATCCTTTTTTTATAGTTGCTAAAGATGGGCAAATACTATTGGCATATACTTGAATACTTGATACTAGAAAGTATCTGATATTCGAGATCTCGTGTATTAAGTTAGTTAAAAAACTAAATTCAAATACAATGGAATCCCATTTATCCAACTGAAATGGACTGGGTCTAGTCTGTATAATTTGGAAAATTCATTAACACGTTGACTACATGAGAAGTACATTTTTATTCAACAGGAAAGTAGCAATTTTTTATAATTAAAAATCTTAAAACGTTCAACAAGATATTAAGTAAACTGAAAGAACGCTCCCATGAAATGCATAACAATGAACGTCATGTACCGATTCATAGAAAACAAGTCTATTCTTGCAAGCTGCAACGTTACGCTCAGACAAGAATGTATTTAGGAGTTATTGGATTTTTTTGCAGTTATAGGTTATCTGTATATCTATCTTTATACTTCTGAGACAGGGATTGTTTTATAATCCTGATAAACTGGAAATCTGGATTAATGGATTCCACTGTATTACAAATACCTCCAATATCGTGCCATACATACATAGTGGCACGTCCATAAGTGCCTAAAGGGAGCTAACTCAAAAGTTAAAAATATTTGAATAATTAATAAGTACCGGTACCTTTTATTAACAAATGCACAACAATCTTATTGCAGATGGACCAATAAACGATATTTGTTACCATAGATGTTTTATAAAAACAACATTTTGAAGTCTGAACAAATTAATTTTTTTTGTCAATAGTATCTCCNAAAGGATTGGAAATATTCTTAGGAAAACTTTTCTATGAATCTCACACTTTGTGCCCTTACTGTACATTGTTAACAAATGCACAACAATCTTATTGCAGATGGACCAATAAACGATATTTGTTACCATAGATGTTTTATAAAAACAACATTTTGAAGTCTGAACAAATTAATTTTTTTTGTCAATAGTATCTCCTTATATCCACCACTGTGTACATAGTCTGTTTGGCAGCTCTAGTTTAATTTATGACAAGAAAAGAAGCAGACTAGATCATGAATATTTTTGAATTCCTTGTTTTCTTAAATAAAAATCCTTAGTAAGTGAAGATGAGAACATTTATTTGTTAAATTAATCTTTTGTAATTGAGTTAATAGTACCTAAAACAGTTTAAAACTTTAAGCGAAGTTGTCTTGTCACAATTAAAAGTTTGAAATTTCATTTTTTTTTAATTTAGTAAATTGTTTTTCTTTTTGCTTTCTGTTTTACTCAATTAATATATTAGAATATATTAAATATATTATTAACTAAATAAGTTACATAAGGTAATTAAGTATACTAAATATTTGGGGTGTTCAAATATTTGAGATCTGGTTAATATTTGAATTTGAGAAAAAGTGATATTTGTCCATCTGTAATATTTACAATAAAATAAATAAGAAGTTTATTGAAAAGAATATTAAATTAAAATACTAGTTTCAAAATAAATTAAATTTAAAAAATAGCCATTTCTATCAATCTACTCTATATTTTAAAATAATACATAGTATATAAATACAAATATAAACATCTGTAAGCCTTATAGTTGTATTAAAGCCATACGATTGTCAGATTTGATGGTAAAGCGATAGCCAGCTGCGTGCCATAGTGGGAGTTTATAGGCCGTGGGCGTTAAGTCGTCCCCAGTCAGCAACATGTGTAATTGGTATGGTTATATCTAAATTAGTAATAAATTTAATAAGAGATGGCACCTGACACATACATCTAGGCCAAATTACTTAGCATTTAATTATTAATAGTAGAAGTAATATAGCCCAATCTAATCCAGAAATTATTTGTTTTAATATATAAATAGTCTATAATATAATATAATAAATAATCTTAAAATTGTCACAACACTTTTTTCTATCACAAAAAAAGAAAAGAAATAGAAACAGTGGCATTAGGAAAATGATTAATTATCATAAAAATTTTTTATGAAATGAGTGAAGCAAGGTTAGAGCAAAGCAAGTGGGGGTTGAATTGAGTGAAGCAAGCAGGAGTGGGGGATTGGCCCTCATGGGGAAGTTGAATCAGCACAAATTATTTAATTTTTTTTGTCTAATAACCATTTCTGCACACTAGGAATATCATTAATGCCCCTAGCATTGACCACTTCACTTTTCTTACACTACCTATAAATCTACCTTTTCCACCGTCAAGATATTTACCCTCTCCCTATCTTCCATCACTGTTCTATCCCTTTCAATTTCTACATCCCTACTATATGCATCTATCACTAAAGTTGTTCCTACTCTGCTTTACTTTACATCTTCCTGATGTTCGCTGATCCTCTTTCTCAAGGTATCAGGGAACCTTCCATATGTAGCAGCTGTGAGACACTACTACTACTCTAATCCTGGAAAAAAATGGATGTCTAGTCTACCTTGTGATGGAAATATGGTCACATGCTACTCAAGGAACAATGCCGTATAAAACTGTAATCATGTAAACTCAGGCTAAAAATCATAGTGTCAGCTGCTATGAATAGTAACAGTATCTGCTCAAAGATAACAGGTTTGATAGAGATCTTATAAACATTGGGTATACAGAAAGGTTTCTCAAGCAACATATTCCTGAACACAAAAATGATATAGAAAAGAGGAGAAAAACCACTGCCTTAGCTATATTTGCCAGTGAGAATGGGATTAAACCAGAACTACAACAGGCTACCCTAATATGACAAATGTGTCATATAAACAAACTTTAGAGTTTGGAGGCGTCGGAAATATTTAAAGCAGACCACCAGGGCCTATCTATCAATTTCAAGGATGAAAAGCAAATCTCAAAGGCATGGCAAGCTATGTTTGACCCAACATTATGACAAACAATGTAGGTGCACCTGATTGGATAACAAAAAAAAAAACATTCAAAATTCGAATGTGTTGAAATCATATGCATTCCAAAATAGAACACTACTAGCACCAGAAAAAAATATATTTTAGAAGGTTCTGCCTGAGGAATTGTCCTAGAAGTGGACGAAAAACGTTAGTAATGTAATAGTTTTCAAACCACGTGCAAAACACAATAAGGTTTGTAATTTTTATTTATAATCAATGCTTTGTTGTTAGAAGATTACTTTATAGAAACAGTCTGTTATATTTTGCTGTAAAAAAAGCATCTGTAAATGCTCACCTTATACCTGTAGTTTTAAATGAAACTCAAAGAGGAAAATACTCAAATCAGTGATGCTTGTTTTGGATATATGTCCTTTTCACAAGACAACAAAGATATGTCATCTGCTAGTCTCAGGAATATTGTCTAGAGCAGTGATTCTCAAACTTTTTCGATCCACCGCCCCCTTTGTTCCATAAAGTTATACCCAACGCCCCCTAACCCATTTTCTCTTGTGTGAGAAAAGGATTGGAAATATTCTTAGGAAAACTTTTCTATGAATCTCACACTTTGTGCCCTTACTGTACATTGTTCTCATCATCTGGAAA